GAGTGGGAAACAGTGAGAGAAACACAGAGACTGAGAGAAAGAGGAAAAGAGAGAGAGAAGGAGAGAGAGAGAGTGTTTGTGTGTGTGCGCGCGCGCGCGCGCGCGTGTGTGTGTGTGTGTGTGTGTGTGTGTGTGTGAGAGAGAGAGAGAGAGAGAGAGAGAGAGAGAGAGAGAGATTCGCATTTCGTACGAACAAATACGTCATGGATCGTACATTCACGTCAGTACATTGCAAACAGGGGGAACGGCATCCTGTATCCGGCCATGTCTGACGCAGGACTACAGTACTCAAACGTGAATGCAAAGTCCTTTCACGTCATGTCGTTCTATTTATTTGCTGTGGCGTACTTTTAATTTTTGAGAAATACTGAACGTTTCATGGTACTAGAAGTATTTTAAAATGTGAAGAATACAACCCCTGGGGTACAAAATGACCCCAGAGCGTACGGATAGGGTTAAGCTTTTCCTTGTTTACATCTCTGGTAACAAAGATGATATGCTACCATCTCCACAAAAGGGGACAAGAATAAAATTCCGTCTATCGGTGGTTCTCGACGTCACTGGTAGGTCCTACGTCTTTTCTTCCCACCTGTTATATCTGCACGTCCGTCTTACATTTAAAAAAATATTTTACTGAGTGACCGTCATTATATCTTCCTTTTACTTTAATAAATGAACTGTCAAACAATGATTCAGTGTTTTCATTCTCATGGAAAGTTCTTACAAAATTAATGTATGTAATATGATTTTTTAATTTTTAAAAAAATAATAATTGGGTGGAACAATCTATAGGCATCTTTGTTTGCTTGAGTAAAAAGGAGCGTATCGACACGATACTCATGATTGGTCATTTAATACATGGTAAAAGCAAGACAGGCAGAAAGAAACAACGACAGATAAAACTAACAAACTGCGAGGACTTACCTGTGGTGCCGTCCCATCATCCTCTATGCGGACTTGTGAACAAAAATGACCGTCGTAAACGAGCTGTTGCCGTTACATCGTTGTAATGGTGGTGACAACCGAGCCTGTTTTCCTTCCCCTTCTCCAAAAAGAGTTGTCTGGACGCTCCGTTAGCTCAGGTGGGTGACCCCCCGGGGTGGTGCCACTGACTGAAGTGTCTTTAGGCCATTCCCAAAGGGGGGACATTTCTCGTTCTAATGCACAATAGAATTGTAAATGGGCTGATCCAACAATATCATGCTCATAACTGCCTGAACTATAACAGGGAACTGCTGCTTTTTCTTTCCCTAACCCTTACTATCGTCATTTTCCTCTACTTTTTTTGTATGTTTGTCACACTCTTGTTACCCGCTATTTCCGGGGTGCCTTGATAGTTGAAGCAGACTTTGTGCTGTTGAAGCTAGAGAGGTGAGCAGAGTAAGTCTGATTCCCTGTAAGGACTTCTCTGTTGGCATCCACCCCTTACCGCTCATATGACCTTATGCAGTTGCGAGCGCCGTAAAACCTCTACTAAAACAAAAATCAGTTGAGTGTTGCACTTATTTTCAAATGCCAGCTGATGTTGTGTCTGTTTTTAAATTATTAAGATGAATATTTGAAGTGATTTTCCTTTAGTCAGAACACAACATTTTATGTTACTGTTGTACCTTGTACTGTATTGTAAAGCGCTCAGAGCCTGTGTACTTTCATTGGGGTTGAGTGCTATATAAATGTCATTTATTATTATTATAATAATAAATAATGTATTATTATTATTATTATTATTATTATTAGTTGGTATCAAGCTGGACAACAGAGCCGACAGCTCTGGTTCAAATACTAGACAGGGCGTTCTTGTATTCGAGCAGTTTTTCTTCGCAATTTCCACGGCTCTCAACCCATTTAGCTCGGTCCTGTCTAAGACAGACGTAAAATTCGGAGATCCCGCCTTTTAGATAACCTAATAGTGTCGATGAGGGCGTAAAAACATTCACTTATTTACTCAAAAGTTGTCTATAGTCAGGCTACCGGCATCAGCCAGTGGATGGTTCAGCGTGCGTAACTCAAGTAGACCTGTGACATTTGCGCCAACCACGCGTCCCTGGGTCTTGTAAATGTGAGGAAATGGATTTGTCACAGCTTGATAATGACATTTTGGTTGGACAAGGAAATGTGTGGATTTTCTTTCCGTCGACCTTGTCGCTCTCTACAATCTCCGTTATACAATCTTCGTTATACAATCTTCGTTGTGACAGCCATCTCTCTGTGTTATGTTGGTTTTTTCCTTTGTCAGTTGTCTGGTAATGGGTGGTTGGCGAGTGCCCTGGTGTTGTTCGGTCCTTTCTTCCTATCAAGCATCTGTCGTCCTTACCTCTCCGCCTTCTTTTTTGTGTTTATTACTCTCTTGTAACGCCTCGTATCTTCGGTACTTATTTAACCTAAATGTATTGCAAGTGCCGTAAAACTCTTACGAAAATAAAAACGATTTTCCCCTAAACAATATTACGTGGTTTATCGCAGTTCAGTTATAATTATTGTTCTCGTATGCCTGTAGGTGAGAAAGAGGGTCAAAGAAGCCGGCGTCCATAATAATCTACAGTACTAACTAGTGCATTTACTACCACTTTTTTACAATGATGTAAATTTTTCGTACTTTTAACTACTGCTGCTTTTTTCTTCTTCATCATTACTATCGTCATTTTTCCTCTACTTCTTTTGTATGTCTGTCTGTCACACTCTTGTGACGCGCCTTTTCAGGGGTGCCTTGATAGACGAAGCAGACTTTGGGCTGTTGAAGCTAGAGAGATGAGCAGAAAAAGCTTGATTCCCTGTAAATACTTCTCTCTTGACATCCACCCCTAAGCGCTCATATGACCTTATACTGTTGCGAGCGCCGTAAAACCTCTACTATTTTTTTGGTGTATTTTAAATACTTGTTCTCATATGTGTGTGTAGGTGAGGAGGAAGACCATGAACTGGAGGACGCTGGGGTCGGTGGCGTACGTCCACGGCCCAGACTTACTACCTCCAACAGCGGCGCCGACATTATGCTGGGCCTGGAGACAGATGAAGGAAAGAGCGCCGAAGTGGAGATAGACAGTCTGGAGTCGGACGAGTTGCAGCCGGAAGGTGCGTGTGTGTGTGTGTGTGTGTGTGTGTGTGTGTGTGTGCGTGTGTGAGAGAGAGAGAGAGAAAGAGAGAGAGAGAGAGAGAGAGAGAGTGTGTGTGTGTGTGTGTGTGTGTGTGTGTGTGTATGTATGTGTGTGTGAGTGTGTGTGTGAGAGAGAGAGAAGGGAGGGAGATAGGGAAGAGGAGGTGAATAGATAGATAGATAGGTAGATAGATAGATAGATAGATAGATAGATAGATAGATAGATAGATAGATAGATAGATGGATGGACAATAAAAGAAGGTGGAGACATAAAGAAGGCTATAGAGTGCAAATCTTGCGATCGACATGTTGTCTTCTTTTTAGTTAAAGTCACGGGTTAACAAATCAGTCACTCTGCTGCCTCTTGTGCCATGAGAGTGGATTTGGGTTGTGTTTCATAGTCAAGGTGTTCTGATTTGAGTTCATTGTAACCGTCTAACAATAACTGAATAATTTCGACCTTTGATGGATTGCTTTAATGCTTTATGAATTCATAAAATGAAGCTAGGTTTAAAAATTCCATTGAGATTGAAGCAAGAAATGATAAATTGAAATTTAAATGTAGGAATTTATCCACATTTCACGATGACAATGCAGTTAGATATTCATGTACTTTGTATTTCTCTTCCAAAGTGTTCCTGGGTAAGTCTTACAGATTGCCTGATTCCTGAGTTTCGCAAAAAATAGCTGATTCCTTTTTTTAATGTGCTGCCTTCGATTCTCTAATCTCGACAAAGTGTCGGTAGTTGGTTGCCCCATGCATACTTAGCTGCTTCCTCAATACTGTAGATTATGGCTTGGATTGGAGGAAGTATTGAGCATAGATGCCAGCTTTAGCTTCAATTGTCTATATTTTGAGTGAACCAACATGATTTTTTTTCTCACAATTATCATGATTTGAACATTCATGTCTTTAGGTTGACTCTCCTAGAATCGTTAAGTGCTTGAACGTTATTAAAGTTTGCGATCTTCGTGTTCCTGATTTGAATGGACTGCCTTTCTGTTGGAGGATGTCTGAAAACGTTATTTTCCTCAAATGCTAGTCAGATTTGATAGTTAGTTTTGGCATGACTCTGGAAGAAATTCATTGCCATGATATTGCAGATGCTTGAATGTTACATATGTAAATGTCATCGAGGCGAGGTTTTTTTAATGTTTTGTTTTCTTTATTGATCGAAGACGTTTTTACCATTTGTGGTGAAGCAGTGCTGTGGTTGATCTGAAAGTATGGATTCTGTCAAATCGTGCAGATGCCAAGGATAATTGGAAGTAAAAACTTATTACATTTTTGGGTTTCTTGGGGATATTGGATAGAAATGATTCGTGACCTTCGAGATAATGTACATGAGATAATAGTCTGTTTCCAATCAATAATTTACAAGGGTTCTAAAGCTGTCACAATATATAATACAAAAAGTGTGCAGGAATTGGGTGTGAGATTGCCGTTAGGATAAATTAATTCAGAAATCATGTTCTGGGTGGTTCTTGTCGATGCTATAATTTCTGTTGGAATGTTCTAGCTTAGCCTCAGGTTACCCCATAATCAGCTGGATATAACTTTATAATGCCGTTTTGAGGCCGCATTCGTAATGCGCTTCGTTAACTCATCAGTTGTTATGATGGGTTGGGCTTTTTTTTAAAATCTGGTGTAATTGTAGTTTATTGGCGGGATTGATTTGTTATAAAATATAATATATTATGTTATGGGCCTCGTTAACGTGTACATTTCAGGCGTTTTTAAGGGAGGGGGGGGGTCGTTTTGAGGCACTTTTGTTTTATTTGGTTATAGTTTGTTTTTACTATTTTATTTTATTCGGGGTTTTTTTAGGCACCATTCTCTTTTGGGTTGCATGTTAATGACAGGCTGATTTCTCGTATACGACATGCAATGTCGGTGAGAGCGTGGTCGGTAAATATCGTGATTTTGCAACAAGATGAGGAGGCAGAGGGGATTTTTCAATTTTGATGTTTAGGATTTAGTAGTACCAACAACTTCTTCATCTTTTGGGTTTTGTCGCTTATTCTAACTGAACACACAATCTGTGCTGAGAGATGGGAATTTTTTTTTCGCTGTTAACAACACCTTATACAACCAATGCCTTTTGTTTATCACGGGCCTAATGTGTACGTGAAAGGGTTGCGAAAATAAATAATTGCTGATGATGAGAATGAAGTATTTGATTTTACGGAAACTTCGGATTCTCATCTTGATTTTGGGGTCCCCCTATGTTTTAAGGATTGGTATAAGTAGTAATTACTCGAGTTTATCATCACTTTCCACAATGTAAGGTTGTTTAAGAGGCGGGACCTCCTAATGTAATGTCCATAAGACAAAGTGAAGTTAGTTGAGAACCGTACCTACTATTTACACGGACCTTTCGAGTGCAAGAACACCTTTATAGGGGCTCAACTCAGGGCCGTCCGCAATATCGCCCACCATGTTAACTAAGCAAACCATGCGCCCTCAGCGATAAAAGAAAACAGTTCTTGCTTTTGTCGTTTTCACTATAGAAAAAAATATGCATGGCTTTTAACTGTGCTGAAATATTTCTATACTACATTTGTACAGACAAGAAAAATGTTAATTCAAGAGAGATTTAAACAAAGATATAATATATGTCCCTTTATTTAGAATAAGAAACTGCACGCTCAAGTTGTAATAAATCATCAAAAATGTTCTCTACAATTCGATAGATTAAAAATGGCAGTAAACCAGTTTGGGAGAGGATGAATGAGTGCATACGTCTATACAGCAGTGAAGAAGTTTAACACTTTAAGGTTATTTTAAGAAACGTAGCCTCTGAATTTTACGATAGGTTCGAGCCAAATTGGAAAATATCTCAGACTCTCAATCGTAAAGTTGTGGGTTAAAATCCCGCCAAGGGCCCGATGTCGTGTCCTAGGGAAAGGCACTTTACTTCAGTTTACCTCACTTCACCCAGGTGGGAATGGGTACCCAGCTATGGACAGTAAAAGATCTTGTCAATTTGTTATTTAGTGTTTGAGCACTTAATCAGCTGCTTGCACTGTATGCTTCCAGGGAAGCTGAGAATGCTTTTGAGTGTTCTGTATCTGCTGGGGTAATAATATAATATTGCAAAGCACATAGAGCTTGCTGTAGAGCGGGGATATAGGTAAAATAAATGCTATATAGTACTATTATTGCTATTATTGTTGTTATTATTATTATTATTATTATTATTAATATTGTTATTATAAGTGTTTTTTGTTGTTGTTCCAAATATTATATTAATATTGTTATTGTCATTACATCTTGTAAAAGTGCCTTTCCCCAAGGACTCAACTTCGGACCGAGAAGCACCTCGAACTCCGAGTCCCGCAATCTCGCAATTGACTACTAGATTACCAGAGCCACTTTTTGCTCTAGAGAAATGTCAGGAAACCATCTCGTGACATCTGTACTTTGGAGAATATCAATCGAAAAGTTTGCGTCCCATCCCTTCGTTTTAAGTGTAAAAATCAACGCTACTGGTGACATTTTCTGCTTTGGTAATATTTCAGTTTGTTAAATGTTTTTTTCTTACTACTAAAATGACAAAATCACTTTTTGGGGTGGGGGGGATGGGGGGGGGGGGGCAGATAAAACTAATGTCTTCTTTGTAATATTTGTATTTGCCGTCATATGCTGTTGAATTGTAGTTATTTTTCTCCTTTTTTTTCTTTTTTTTTTCTTTTTTTTTTTCTTCTTTGTCCATTTTTAAATTTTTATTTATTTTAAATTTTTTTTTTTTTTGGGGGGGGGGGTTCTTTTTCTTTTTCTTTATAAGTGTCAAAGGAAAGAAGCGTCATGAACACGTTTTAGGATAGAGAAACCGACACGTGTGTACCCTCCTCATGTCTCCAGAGAACCAAACGTAGTTTTACTTCAGCGTGATGCAGTGGTTCGAGCTCTGTTAGAGTTCTTCGAGATCGATATAATATTATTTTTTACAGGAAGTTTTTAACGCTATCTGATTCTTGCACAGTGTTAAAACAACGTGTGTAAAGATCTAAGTGCCGCCTTGTAGCATACCCGACCTATTTTTTTAAAGGGCGTGAAATGTGACGAGAATAAAAGTGAAACTTAAAGATAGTGGGTACAACAGACACCCAGCGTTGTTTTTATAATTAATTTATTCCTTCTTTCCTATCATACATCTATCGTCTTTGCCTCTCCTCCTTGTTTTCTGTATTTGTTACCCTCTTGTAGTACCTGTAATCTTGGGCACGTATAATATGATATGACCTAATTAATTGTATTGCAAGTGCCGTAAAATATCTACTAAAACTAAACTATTTTTGTAAAATTATGTACCTACCCCCTCGACTGTGGCCCTCACACTACTTCTCAAGCAATATTGCTAATTTTAAAAACATTCTGTTTATGAGTAAATTTCTTAATTTCCTTTTCTAAACTATCAATAATTATTGTCTTGGCTCTGGGTACAACTGTTTTACTGTGCTATCCCAGCAATATATATGTTGAAAATGACCACTTTTCAACCTCTCTGTTGCCAAATAACAGTTTACTGTACAATCCTAGCGATACATGTACTGAAAATAATTACTTTGTAATCTTCCTATTGCAGAGTAAGATATTATGCACACACTGTCTTGGTTGTGGCTAACACTCTATAATTTGCTCTATGGATAGTTGGAAGACGCTGTTTATAGCTGTGGATAAAATTCTGTAATTCCTTTTTGTATGTTTACCGCTTTGGCAATTGATGAAATTTTACTGCCTAGCTATATATGCGTAGTTTCGGCTTTTGATTTATATTTTTAGCAACAGGTAAATATTCTTTTTCCTATTGTTAAACAGGTTAAGGTATACTACTTAAGCAATAGATGGAACTTCATATTATTAAAAAATGTTGGCATGTTTGTCTTTTCCCACCCAAAAACTTGAAACATCATCGCTTTTTTAGTATCATTTAATTGGCAAACACGATAATACGACAAAAGGTTTGACATTTCGTGTGTACTGAATTGATTTTGCATTTATACCTTAGCGTGTGTGCTGTGCTCCGTTAGTTCTATATTTATCTTGCTGTAAGTGTGTGTATATAATATGTGTGCTTGTGTGTGCTTGTCTGTGTGTGTGTGAGTGTGTTCGTGTCTGTGTGTTGTATGTGTTGGTGCGTGTGTGTGTGTGTGTGTGTGTGTGTGTGTGT